TAGCTGCAGTTTTTAACAGAACTTCTGTTTAGGTTGGACGAAGTGGCAATATCCCAGCTGGAACAACTGTAGATACAGACATTACACATCCATATGAGTTTGATTTTTACCTCTGCAGTCATGCTGGAATACAGGTACAATTGTTGTCTTGTAAATAAATGTGGATTTAGAACATAGAGATGTAAACATGTTGTTATAGCAAGCTAGAAGTGAGTCTTAGCTAAATAGAGATCTATCTGTATGTGTGTATATATGTGTATTTTAAATTATGTGTGTAAAAAAGTGTTTGGTATGGATAAAATACAAGTATTGCCATAACTTGGTTGTGCTGTAAGTTTCAGCTCCAGTGTATAACATCCTCTGGGGGAGAAGCAGGGGGAAGATGAGTACTCATTTATTTCAGAGCAGTGTCTTCCAAAGAAACTGCATGGCAGTTTGCTGGAGAACTTCTAAGAGTTCCTATGAGCTGTGCTCAGCATTCAGTGGCTGTTGTGGTCTGTTAGGAAATGTTTGGTGGTGGTAAAAACCAGCGTGTTGATCAGTTTAGTCATGTTGGAAGCAGGTTTCAGTTGTGAAGGGTTATTTAGAAGGCATGTGGTTTTCTTTTTCCCAAGCAAGGCTAATTGAAATAACATCATATGAATATTAGACTCTTTTAATCTCTGTGATACATTTATTGCTGACATAATCCGGAAATTTCTTTGGCTGCTGTTACTTAGGAATTCAGGCTAGACAGTCTGGCCTTTTCTGAACTTAAACATCTGACTTGATTGCAGGGAGAGTCAAAAAAGAAAGATAAGTGAACCGATGTTCCTTTCTTCTTAGGGTACCAGCCGTCCCTCCCACTATCACGTTTTGTGGGATGATAACTGCTTTACTGCAGATGAACTGCAGCTGCTGACTTACCAGCTCTGCCACACGTACGTGCGCTGCACGCGGTCAGTTTCTATACCTGCACCAGCCTATTATGCTCACCTGGTAGCATTCAGAGCACGGTACCATCTTGTGGACAAAGAGCATGACAGGTAAAGAAAAATGTGTCCTTAAACGTGTGTCCTTGTTGGTCTCTGCTCCGTTGTCAGGCATAAAGCCATTTCACTGTTCATTTTGCAGTTAATTCTTGTAACCTTGGCAGCTAGGCTTAAGATGCTCATTCCTGACATCAAGGCTGTGGCAGGCGAGGGTGGATTGGTGTTTTCTGCTGAATAACACCTGGATTACAAGAAGGAAGTTCAGCTTCATTAAGTATTGTTCCGACATCTCCGTGGTGTGAAGGAATCAAACACACGTTTGGCTTTTTGCTTTAGAGTCAGAGCGTTCATCAGTGAAACAGATGTGAAGTGCCTCACGTTTCTCTGGCTCTGCTTTGGATGTCAGAATTTGATAACATTAAGGCCATCAGTATGTTTGCAGGGGGGGCTTTCTGGACAAATCAAAGAGCTGAGGGGAAGGGGTTTCTGTTGTTAGCTGTTCTTATCTGTTACTCTGCAGCCTTCAGGCTTTCTGTTGATGTTGCCACTTTCCCCTCCTGCGCGGCGAAGGGATGCGGAGTTAAATCCCAATTAACACAGTGCACAGCTCCTCTCCTCTTACTTTCTCCCGTTTTCTTGCAGTGCTGAAGGAAGCCACGTTTCAGGACAGAGCAACGGCAGAGACCCACAGGCCCTGGCGAAGGCTGTACAGATTCACCAAGACACCTTACGCACGATGTACTTCGCTTAAGTCAGTAACAGGGGAGCGTGCTCGCCGCAAGGAAGAACTGACAAATTAAGCCACATACAATGTATGTTTCCAGTGGGGTTGGTTTATGGGGTGCGCCTCCCATCGTGCAGGGGCGAGAGGCTGACCCTTAAATTGACACAAGGAAGATTGTTTACTTCACCGAGGAACACAGCACTATTATGCAATATGAAACCAGCCAACTGCTTTTGTGGCGCGGTCTCCTGTAGGAAGCACCGCCATCATTTTCCTCCTTCTGTTTAATTTCTCGTAGTTTAACCCTCTTCTGCCTTTACCTCAAGTTGCTCGGCAGCACAACTCTCTTTGCAAAAAAAAAAAAATAATAATAATTAAAAAAAAAAGGATGGTGTAATTCGAGAAAAGCAACCTGTATAAGAACAGTCACAGTGATTCTTTGGGAGAGAAAAGTGTGCAAAAAGTCTTGTTTCGCCCAGTTGAGGAATCTTTCTCTCAGTATTGCCATCAGCATTCGAATGCGACCCTATCTGAGTACATCTGAATGTACAGCACTAAGCAGAGAAAAAATGGAGGGGAGGGAAGATGTTTTGCACACTAATCCAATCATTTGAACATAGTTTAGCCAACTGCTGCCTTTCTTCACAGCTTTGGAGTCCTCAGCTCCAACAGTTCCCTTTTAGAAGCAAACAAAGCTAGCGGTGTTACTGCAGGCAGTGGTGATCCCAACTGTTCTTGCTCCCTGGTGACTTTACTAAAGCTGCTGTTTTACCTAGTCCAAAAGTTTCAATTATTTTCTATCTGGCAAGTGAAATATCGTGAAGCTTCATGTGAGGTTGGGCGTCCCAAGCTTTATGGGATGGCTGCAGCAAACACCAGAACTGAAACTTTAGAGCTAAGGTCGTCTTGACAAAAGAAAAATGCTAGTTTACTTGCTGCCTCTCACACCTTAATGTGATTTCATACGTACGTGTTTTTGAAGTTTAGCTTCCTTTGTTTCCTTTATATTTATTAGAGTAATAATAATGCTTTAATTTAATTATTACAGAACATATGGTCAACATCAACTTTTATTTTTTAGAAATGTAACCATGTTTATTTTTAAAGAACTGACAACTTGTTTTTGCTATCTTTTAGTGCAATAAGCGTTCGAAAAGAAAACTGTGTCCATTGAGCTGTACCACAGCCGTGTTTGTACCGCTGGCTGTGGCAGAATGGACGCCTCCGATTTTAAAAGGACAAAGTCAAAGCCTTAATTTTGAAAGGAAAGTTTTATAGTCAGAAGGAATCTCGGATTTTCCTTTTTTAAATCAAAAAGTAGCAAAAATGCTTCTGGAACTCTGCAGGCTTCAGCGCTCGCTGCCGTGGTTTGGTTTAACAAAGGAACCGGCCGTATTTTTGGCTTTGAGACGTGGGAGATATTTGAAGTAAACAAACAGATTTTTTTATTGAGCTCTAAGTTTTTACATGCTTAATTAAACCTATTTGACATCAATAAAAGGTCTGGAGTTATTAAAAAGTTTTTAGGCTTTTTTCCTCTTTGATAACGACTTTCCTTTTAAAATTAAGTTATTGGTAACTTCATTTCACTTTGCAAATAAAAAGAGGGCTGGGATAGTTCTACCTTTAAATCACTGAAATGTGAAGCAAACAAACGGGACTCTTTCATTCCACTTTAAAGGCAACCCAACGTTAAGATGTCAGAGATGAGCATTTATTCTGCGAGGGGTCTGGGAAGTTTTGCACTTTGTAAACTCGTGAACTGCGTTTTTTGACTGTTTTTTATTTGCACTGGTTCATAGTATATATACTGCAGATCGTTTCTATGGGCATTGCTGTTATCCCAGCCCTTCTGAACCCCACCTGCTCTCCACATGAAAACCAGCGGGTCGCTAAAGCAGCTTTATCTCCCGGCGTTCTCACCGAACGCTCTGTTTGCCAATATTCTGTGTTTTGAGCCTAAAATCTGAGCCCGTTTCGCTTCAGCAGGCATGACTCTCCCCATCTCTTCTGCCAGAACACAAAGTACTGTATTTGTGTGTCTGTGTGTCGTCCTGCAGTGTGTGCAGTGCTGTCACAACGCTGTCTCGCAGAGCTCTGCTCGGCGGTTGGCGCGTAGGCATGCTTCATCTCCCAGCACCAAGGAAGGGAACGTAAAGATTCACCTCGCACCGTGAGCATTGCGCTGGAAAAGTCCTGAGGTGGGCAGCTGTTGGGGAGCACTGGGGGGGCGGTGGGGCTGGGCTTTGCCCTGAGCCCCCATTGGGCTGAGCTCCAGGATGGCTCAGCCCTGCTCCAGGTGCCCACAGCGCCCCGAGGCAGAGCTGCAGGGAGGTGGTGCTGCAGTTGTTGCAGCAAGGAGGGCTCCGATCAGCCTCTGAAACGTTGCCCTCGGTTGGGGGCCTGCTAGCTCTGCCTTGGAAGAGCTCTAGCTGGCAGTTCTGTTAATGCAAGGTTCAGGTTAGGCTTTTTACAGAAAGCTAACGTGTAAAGAGGAGTAGAGATTTATAAAGAAACTGTTTTACAAAGCCTTCTCGTGGATTTCTGGCGTCAAGATGAAAATTCCTTTTTACAAAGTCTTTCGATGCTCCTTGCAGAGATGCTGTGCCCTTCTCACCCTGCCCACGCTCAGTGACTGGGAGCCGAGAGGCCTTTGGCTTTCAACTCTCACCAAAAAACAAAGAGACTTCATTGGGAAGGTGACTTTAGATGCCAGCTCGACAGCTGCTGTGCCTGGTTTTCATGTGAAGAGTACGTGGAAGCTTGAATCTCTCTTCTTGGTTTTGCAAATATCTACGTAAAGTGCCGATACTTATTTGTATTACAATATCAACTTACTGGCGTTGTGAGGGCCACACATTTATGATGCTGTAGCTGCTATATTTATTTAAATGGAGATGGACAATTACTGCACTAAGGAATGAGGAGATAAGCAAGGAATCAAGGTTAGTTAGATATCTTGGGGTTTTTTTTGTTTGTTTTTTTTTTTTTTCTGAAAGAGAATTAATGGTGTGAAATATCAAGTGTAACAAAGGGTGCTGTCATTTTAACTGAGATTAAATAGCCAGATATTCTTCCTTTGTTTAAAAACATATATATTTTGATGTTTGCAGTTTGGGGGTGGGGGGTCGGGATAAATGGTACCTCATCTGTGGTGGCAGTTTCCGGTATATTTTCAGAGTATATGGATTTCTTTTATTTTTGTACCTGCTCTCCTTTTAAAAAAGACAAAAAAAAGAAAAAAAAAAAAAAAAAAAAAAAAAAAAAAAAAGAAAAAAAAAACAAAAAAACAAAAATAACAACATTTTTATGCTGTGTGGGGGGGGGAAAATGTCGAGCTGCTCTCCAGGTCTCCTTTCTCTCTGGGAGCCGAGGGCTGCGCTTCTCCTCCTCCCTTTGCAGACACGCTGGCCTCGTGCACTGCCCAGCTGGGTGCGTGGCTCCCGCCCTGCAGACACTGTACCAGTTCACCAAGACCTCGTTTGTACTCAAGTGCCACTTGCTGGTGGGAGCTGCAGTGCTGGTACTGTGCCAAAGGTGGGCTGTGCCGAGCCCTGCAGCGAGCGCTGGGAGCTGCAGAGCTGAGAGGGAGCAGAGCGTTGCACAGAGCATTGCTAGGAGGTGTGCTAACATTGCTAGGAGGTGTGCTAACATTG